TTGAAAAATGATTGTTTTTTGTCGCAGAACATTACGGATTATTAGAGAGTGCAAGGTTTTATAATGTGTCAAATAAAACCTTTTTTATTCCTAAGGATTTGTCTTATAACAATAGAAAACCTTTTTTAAAATACAAATAAAGTTCTAAAAGTCTGGATGGGACAAAAGTGTAAAATTGAGGGGGTGGGGGTTGCTCATTTAACCATTTTAGGTGCATGTTACAAAAAAAAATTTATTGAAGAGTATTTGTTCTATAAGATTAGAGAAGAGTATTTATAATAACAAGAGAAAAATGCCAATGGTTACAATTGAAGGGGTCTAGATGCATGGGGGAAGGTAACGTTTGGGGTATTTTTATCTCCATCAAAGCGCTTTTTCATAAATGCCCTAGACATGAATCTAACAACCAATGCCTAAATATTGACATCGGTTAATAGTCTAGTTCTGAAGTCAAAACACAAACCACTTAACTATCACCCGTAGTGCAGTGGTTAGACAGAGCTCCAGTTTTGGAATCAGAACTGTAGGTCCGTGGTTCAAAGCCGACTCTAACCGTCAGTGGCGAAGGAAGGTCGTGAAAGTTTGTATGGTACTGCAAAAATAGATAAAAATGATTTATTTATTAAATTATTTATCACACGCAATGTTATTACTCTTGGCGCTCCTATTGATTTATATACTTTACCTTCAACAAATATTTAATAGCTTTTGATAATTGTTAAGACAGTTTTACATTAATAATGAAATAAACTAAGCACAACATAATTTAATATTACAATAACATAATTATAAAGTAATACATTAAATATAACATAATTTATTAAGTTCGTAATACGTGAAACAAACTCTATTTTTCCAAAATATCATTGACGCTCATCATTTGCCAGCACAAATTCTTTATAAATAGTGTTAATGTCAACTTCTTCCAAAATATCTTTATGAATATGACTCAGAATGGTGCTGTTTAATCTTTTTTGATTCATAGTAGAACGGAGATATGTATTTAGTCTCCTTAGACTGGAAAATGATCTTTCTGCTGTTGCTGTACTGACCGGTATAGTAAGAAAGACTCTTAGAACTTCAGACACTTCATCAAACATTTTAGATGCATCATTTTCGGCAAATATTTCAACTAATGTTGAGATGGTTGTTATCTTAGTAATTGACTTTGTTGCTTTTGCTCTGTTTGATTAATTCAGGTAGTATGTGAAGTTGCAATGTTAACCTTGTCCAGTCGATTTTTTGACAGTGATGGAGATATCTCGATAATTTCTGACTCTAAGTTTGCCGAGTTCAATAAAAGCGTTTCCATATTAATGGCGTTTTTTACAGATGGCTGCTGAAACCTCAAGTCAAGTTCACCAATCAAGAGGTCAACGACTTCATAAAACTTTTGTCTGAAATAATCAGAAACATCTGAAAAAATATGAGGTCCTGAGCCAGAATCTAACCACCGTGGTTGTTTTCGAGTCCGTGGAATTGATGGCTCACTTACTTCCAAATCATCAGCTTCAGATTTTACTTCCTAGTAGAACTGATTAAACGATGTATCTCTTAATCTTTGCAAATACTGTTTGGTGACTGTGACACACTTCATAGCTTCAGTTAAGGACAATGCTTTCGTTTGCAACGTACCTGAAGCCTGCTTTGTTGCATTAAAAAAAAGAAAACACAATTTCATCCTAAAATATATTTCAAATTTTTGAAGCTGTTGAGATATTCCCTTCGCTTTGGACCCAGAGTCATCTGATACCAATTCTCCAATTTCTGCCATTGCATTTATAACAGATTTGTAATTCGTTTTTTCTAACAATGCCTCAAAGGCACTAAAGCGAACAGCCCAGCGAGTAGGACACAATGGCTTCAGGTTCTTAATGGGACCTCTGTCATTGTTATCAAACGACATCTGCTGCCTGATTTTATCAAAGACAGTAACTTTCTTAGATGAATTCTTTATCATGTTAGCAATTTCAGATACAAGTGAAAGACTGTCCCGGACCAAAGTGCATTGTCTGGTACAGTCTTGCAAAAACAAGTTTAAACAATGTGCAAAGCAATGGACAGAAATTGCTGCGTTGCTTTCTTCTTTCAATTGAGCCGCTAGGCCACGTAAATGTCCTGTCATATTTGCTGCTCCATCATAAGCTTGGCCACGGCAGTTTTTTAGACTTAATGAAAATCAGAGTAGAACATCTTTAACAGTTTTTGTTAAAGATTCGGCATCTAATTACTCTAGTTTATATAGGCCAAGGAAGTCCTCGTGCACATCATAATTTTCATCAACCCAACGTATACAAATTGATAGCTGCTCTTTGTTTGAAATATCCCTAGATTCATCCCCTATAATGGCGAAGTATTTCGAATTCTGGATATGTGATAACAATTTAAAAATCACCGCTCGGCCAAAAAGTTCTATACACTTATTTACTATTATTGGGGACAAATAGTTTTTGTTCTGGATCCAATTTTGTAGCCCTTTTACATCTTGAGATCTCAGTAACATCAATTATTTAAGGTTGCCCTTTGTTTCTGTCTGACCGCGTATTGCAAGACCTTGACGCAAAAGAAACTTTAAGGACGATAGTTCTACTAAAAATATTTGTTGTCTTTTACTCTGGCTTTGTCTAATCTGTTTTAAAAGTTGACTTGTTACAGATTTTGCCTTTTGATTTATAAGCTGGTACTTTTCTAAGACTTCCCTATGGGAATCACTTGGTTTGTGCTCATTTTGTCTAACATTTTTTGTAACGGAAATAGATGTATTCGCGTTAGGCTAACACTTAATGCAGTAAGTTTCGGTTGGTAAAAATCCTCGATTCGCCTACGCTTCAAAGTCATTGTTAATCGGATTGATAAGATAATATAAATACTGCAATTTAATAATTTTTATTTAAATTAAATAATTTTTCATTTAGTCAAGCTGAAACAATGTAGTTACAAAATAACAATTTCAAAAATTGTATAAACATAAAAAAACTAGATAAAAACGTTATCAATAAACTACTTTTTTTTACGTTCTATTGTATTTTAAAATTGTATAACGTTCTTTCGCATTTCGAACGTTCTATTGCATTGATTTAAATAATATCAAGATTTTTTAGACGGCAAAAGTTGAGATGGCACCCCCCTTCCCACGTGACCCCTACTCGCGCTGGCCCTGCTTCTTTTTTTCAAAATTTAGTCTAGTCTCTTTTTAAAATTTTAAAGGGTTATAAAAAGTAACATGTATGTTTTACTATAACTACCTTTTAAACAACATGTTTTTCAGCGCAATGACTCCATGAAGAACTGTAGTCATCTTTTGCCAGCACACATTCATTTAGAAAACAGTTAGTGTGCGATAGTATCTTAAACAGTTTTACTTTTCCATGGAGATGTTTAATTGTGATTGAGTCATTGCAGACTGGAAAATGATAATTCCGCTGTTGATATCATAAAAATTTTTTATTAAACTGTTGAGGAAATGGGGGTACTTAATGAAGTGTCCGCCCCCCCCCAGTGTTTTAGTTAGGGAGGGGCTATTGTCTTCTCCGCCCCCCCCTGTTCCTACGCCACTGCTGGCCGTATATGCATTCGGGAATGGAAGGCGTCAACTTCATGGTTAAATCCTATTCTGCGACGCTCTGTAATAAGAACGTAAGGACTTTATGAGGCATCTAACAATAATATAACTACAGCTGTAATAGCCGTAAATTCTAAATACTCTTCTGGGGTACTGCGACAAGATTGTTAGGTCCTCTTGGAGCACCATAAAACCAAATTTATTTCTAGATATTTGCAACACTAATATATATATATATATATATATATATATATATATATATATATATATATATATATATATATATATATATATATATATATATATATATAGAAAGAGAGAGAGAGATAGAGAGTATATATTTGTTTTAGTTGATGATAATTTTTAGAAGATAAACTTAATCATCTAGGTTTTATATGGGATACTAAAAGCTCTTCTTTTGCCTCGCTTAATCTATCAAATATTGATAATAGAATATCAAAATTCAGGGCAATAATTCAAACTCTTATTCAGACTAGAATCCGCTTTGCTCTATCGTCCAGCTATATAAAACATTGGCGGTTCCGATACTTACGTATGGTCTTGAACTTTGCGACTATTGAGTCTTGAACTTTGCGACTATTGGTCTTAAACTTTGCGACTATAAGACGAACTATTGCAAAAGCTTGGTATAATAGGGAGGAATGCACTTAAGTCACTCCTCAATGTTTCCAAACACAGCAAAAACTATTTTTCATTCGTTTTACATCCAAGATGTATCAACAATTGTACAGCAAAGTAAGTTAAACTTATTTATTCGCATATTGAGTAATAAAACAACCTCTGGTATTGTAAATTCGCAGTTTAAAAACCATACCGCAAAGAACCCTTTTCTAGATGATGTCATAAGTTTATGCAATCGGAATGAACTCAATCTAGAGAGCTTAATGCAAAACAAAAAAAAAAGTAAAAATTATTGTGTTAAGAAATATAATTCCTAAAAAAGATCTTCAAATGTTAAGCTATGCAATTGAGTTCTGGAACTCTCATTGGAGCAATGGAAAATATTCAAAGGAATTCTTGAAGTAAATATTCCAAAATAAAAACTTATATTTTGTCAAAAATGTAACTTCATAATAACTTACTTTGTATTATATACAGCGGGTGATTAATTAATAAATATATATTTGATCGGTAAAATGATTTTATTACGATAGTTTAAATGAGTTTGAATAATAATCTATTCCTACCCTATCCCATTCTTTATTTTTTGCTTAAGTGATTATGCGAAAGACGTATTTTGCTCTCACAATTGTTTCTTTCGAAATGTAGGCTTTTTGAATCAGCGAATAGTCCTTGCTACAATCCAAACGTATACCTTAATTTTTTTTTTGAGAATTTTATAAAAAGCTTAATACTTAAAAATCGACTTTTCAATAACAAATTAAACGCCGATTAAAGACGACATTCTCAGAAAAGATTTTAGGCAGCGATACTTTCTACTTTTTATTAACTTAACAAAATAACTAAGTTAGCACACTTCCCTTTTTGCACAAAACGAGTATAGAAAAACTATAGCACTAAAATAATTAACTGAAAAAAACATCAATAGAGACGCATCTTTTATTGCTATTTCAATGCTTATCTAATTATTTGTAGGAATTAAATCCTTTAGAAAAAATTAAGACTTCCAAAATTTTAAAATTAAAAGCCATCTTTGAAAATAAACAACTCAGTATAATTCTTGTGAATTGAATTTAACTATTTTTATCGTCTTAAATAAAAATAAAAAAAATCGATTTTGGAATTAATCTTGAGAAATCTGGCTATAATGTATATTTATAAAATACTATACAACAAAAAGTAATAGACAAAGCAATATTTTATTCATTCCAAAAGCTATTTGGTTAGGTAGTCTATATATATATATATATATATATATATATATATATATATATATATATATATATATATATATATATATATATATATATATAAAACTTATCAAGACGATAAAGCACGGAATTCAACTAAAGGAAATAACAGTTCATGTTTAATAACCATAGTCACGAGATCGATCTCTTTCACGGTCATAGTCATCTCGACGATTAGCAATTGGACTGCGATCACGAAAGTCATCATAAACATCTCTTTGGTTTGAGCGAAAACTATCACGACCACTAACATATGTATCAGTCATACGAGGCAGCTCTGGAATCGGAAGACCTTTTAACAATGGATGATTAGAATCAACATAATATCTCTCATAAATGACATAACCATCAGTAAGTCCTAATTTTCCAGCATTTGGTACTTCTCTAGAATGTACAACTTCTCTTCTTACCCGAACATCAGGGTCTGGTTGGCTGTGAGAATTTATTCTTTGATGATCTTGCCTGTTTAACTCTTGTTGTCTACTTTGTTGCTCAGCTGCTGCAGCAGCAGCTAAAGTATTTACAGCTGAAAAAATACCTAAGCCACCAAGAATATTTTGCTCAACGGGTGCAGCTCCAAGTATTCCACCAAGTGGAGCATTTAGTCCTCCTATCGGTTGGGGACCACGTCTCATTCCTCTATCACGACGATCATCTCTTCTATCACGTCTACTTTCTCTGTGATTTTCTCGTCCTCCACCATTAGATCTATCCTTTTTATCTTTTGATCTACTTTTAGAAATTTCCACTGTAATCTGTTGTCCTAACATTTTGGATTTGTGTAAGTCTTGCACAGCGTTATTAGCGTCTTCTTCCCTAGCAAAATGAACGAAAGCAAAGTTTTTAATCACAGTAAGTTCATTAACTTCACCATAAGGACCAAACAACCCACGCAAATTATCTGGATTACAGTTATCAGGAAGGTTACCGACATAGACCTTAGTAGGCATAGTAAACAATTGAACAATCAACGAAGGCGAAGATCTAGAGTAAACAATACATATAACGAGTTATTGAAAAATTTAGTAGAATTCGAATTTACGAAAGACATGAAAGTTGATGAGAATTAATCAACGAATAAGAAAAAGGGTCATAAAAACTAATAAAAAAACTTAATTGAATAAATGATAATTAAAAAGTACTCTTAAACATAAGTAAACCACTAATTTACTTGGAGCTGAAAGCAAAAGTGAAACAAATGACTTACTTTAACTTGTGATTTAGCAGAAAGAAAGAAAAAAATATATTATAATAGCAAAGAACAACATAAATAGACGATCAAAATGAAAAAGACATAACTCGGTTTTAGTTTTTCACAAACAGTTGACGAGTATCAATAGGTTAGAAAGTCTTTGAGCAAAATTAATAGTTTATAAAAAGAAAAGTTATAAGAATTAACAAACAAAATTAAAAGCTCAGATTAAGTTACGTAGATCGTATTAGGATAAATTAATTTAGATTGATAATAACTTCTATGTCGTTTACTTAAAACCCAATATATTCACATACAAACTATTTATAATACTCACACCAATGATTAAACAAAAAATAAAAAAACTAATTCATGATTGTTATATAATAGAAAAAGTTGATGGTAAAGCAGACGGTACTATGCTTACTTTTAGATTTACGTCGAACTTTGAACGAACTTTGAAATGAAGTATTCCTTGCAATACGACTGGCAAGCAATAATCAGATACACCACTGCTACGTCTGGTGAGTTAAACAACTACAAATTCCGCGTGGAATGGTACATACAAAGTTGATCCTCGGCTTCACTTTCTAAACAAAATATTAGGTGTTCAACTTGTACACTCGTGAACGTAAGACAAAACACTTTTTGTTAAAGTTACTCACAAAAACTAATGCCCAAGTAAAGGTTGAAAATATCATTTTTACAGTTACATCAAGTCTTGAAGTTCAAGCAATAAACCAACTGGCGAGCTTGATCTCATCCATAAAGTACTACGTAGGTATGGGGAAGGAAGAATTACTCAAAAAAATTAAAATTCTTACAAAGGATACTGACAGTGAGTACGTTCGCCGTTTGACAAAAAAAGTATAAACTTCAATCTCTTTTCTGTATCTCTCCATAAAACTTAATTTCTTTCTTTTTAACAAAAGCTATGAGTTTGACGGTAGATGATAGAATCAAAAACCCATTCCGACGTTTGAAATTTTATGTAAATTGATGACCAGAATATACCAAAATAAGTGTTTTCCTTAATTTTAAAATATATTTTAAAACAATTTTTTTTTTTTTTAAACTTTTGTCTGCCCAAACCAAAACCCTTAGTAGATCTATGTACGCATCCTGCATGTTCTACCTATTTAGTCAGTCAATGTATGTACAATCCCTGCCTGTTTTACATGTTCAAGTCAGACTGTGTGTGCACACTTCCAAATTTTTATAATAAATATAATTTTATTAAGAATTTAACTTTTATTGACAAAAATCATGGACATAACGCATTGACAACAATCATAGACAACGCATAAAACTATAGCTAAAAACTTTAAAACATAACATAAAAGTACACACAAAAACATTTGCGCTTAGGAGGAATCGATCCCGCGTCGCCTGGCGACGTGGGATCGATTCTCAATCCAAAATTATTTACAAGAAGACTACTAATTATTTACTCAATTCGAAGTAAATTATAAATATATACTTAGTTTTTTACACTACGCAATTATTCAAAACATTAATATATTTTCGGGTCACCAATTTACACAAAACTTCAAACTTCGGAATAGGTTTTTATTCTATCTACCGAGTTTGACGAGTTTAAAAAATTAATATTATTTTATGTAACGAAATGTCGAATTAACTAAAAGTTTTTTTTTTTTTTTTCAAATCTTTTAAAAATTTATCCATTGGGTAAGGAGGTATGATTTTGTAATTAATACGGGTCAGGGTAACAACATCAGTTTTTGCTATGTCTAATAACATCTTTCCAACAACATCTTTAAATATAACGATGTATAACTAAATATGTCTAACAATATCTGCAAATACACTGAGGTATAATAACATCTGTCCAACAACATCTGAAATTTCATTGATGTCTAATAACATCTGTGTAAAAAGTATATAATTACTCAGATGTAGTTACATCTTTTCAATTATCTAAGTATAACAACATTTGTGCAACTACATCTGGAGGTTTTACAGATGTATTTAATTCTTTTCAATTATGTTAAGAATAACTGCATTTTTACAACTATATCTGTGAGTTCTACAGATGTAGTTACATCTTTTCAATTAAGATAAATATAAATACAGGATTTTATAAAATTATTAAATTATAATGCATTTTTTTAACCAGATGTAATTTCATATATGGTTTTTTCAGATGTAGTTACATCCATAAAAAAATATTAAATATAAATGCATTATTTTAACTAAATATGGTTACATATAAAATTTTTTTCAGATGTATGTACATCTGGAGAAAATTCTTCCAGATGTTATTGGATTCGTAGAAAAATTACTAGACGTAGTTACATAATCCTAAAGATATTGTTAAAGGTCATTGAATTTTCAGGTGATATTGGACAGATATTGTTGGGCAGAAAAAAAAATACAGATAATCTTGGACAAAAGTGCACAGGTGATCTTGGACTAGTCTACAGATGTTGTTAGACAGAGGTAGCAACCTTTTACCATAAATAATGCGTACGAATGCAACAGGAAGAGTAGAGGGGGGAGGAGGGTTAAAGCAAACAAGTGCATACAAAGAGGCTGAGGGGGGCGGTCCCAAATAAATAGTTTTACTGCGTACGTACTTTATGAATGCCCCCTTAGCTTTTTCCGTAAATCCCGAATTAAACAGTGGTGATCCCCGGATTAAACTACGGTTTCCATTTTCTGTAAATAGATACAAATTTTACAAACCACGTTAAAAAAGTAATCATAAGACACTTTGATATAACTTATTAAGTTAATAATAGTAGTTATGAACACTTCATTCTTAGTAATAATATGTACATGACATTTTATTTATTATTAAATTATATTCTTTGGGTTTAAAAGGCAATATACCAGATATAGAAGATATAAAAAAAAGTATATTTGCTTTTAGTTATGTTCAGAGAGAGTTTGTTGGCTTTAGGCCATTCAGTATTGTCAGCAAAATGGTTGAATTTAAGTATACTAGATGATAAGTAAATACCATTTCTGTAAATAATAAACAATAAAGGTCCTAGAATAGATCCTTGTGGAACTCCGCAACTAATCTTTAATAATTTCGTGCAGGTATTGTAATAAGATACCCATTGTTTGCAATTTTTAAGATAGGACTCCATAAATTTTACGTTTGTAAAAAAGGATATCATAGTCCACAGCGAATAACATTAAAAGAACATTAAAAGCATTTAGTTAATTTATATTAAAAATATTCAATTCCAAACACATACGACTGACATAAGTGTAACAATCTAAAGTTTATTAGTCGTGTTAGAAGCTTTTCTTACCTATAAAGAAGATCTAATTGTTTTTTTAGCACTACCCCATGCCAGTGCCGGTTAGGGATGGCTATAGCCCCAGGCCCCGCAAATTTATGGGCCTTCAAAAATTTTAGAGGACCTTTTTTTCTTTTCTTTTTTAGTCATTTTTAGGCTCTGGCCCATAAAAAAGTCTCCAATAATAAAAATAGCCCCTGGCCCCAGAAAGTCTTAATCCGCCACTGCCCCGTACGATTTTTACATAGTTTACATAGCATTGCATAAGTAATCAAATTGAATTAATGCATGTCTGTTTAGAAATTTCTTGCTTTATACAAAAGATTTATCAGCTTCAATAGTTATTCCACTTGTTAAGTCATATAAAAAATCTCTTAATAATCCAGGTAATCACCGTGGAATTAGTATTTTACCTATCCTTGCCAAACTTTTAGAATATCTAATTTTACTTTTATGTGCTAGCATTATAGATAGCCATTCCCATCAGTTTGGTTTTAAAAAAAATAGCTCTACGCTCCATGCTGAATTTTTATTGAGCGAAACCATTAAACACTAGAATAACAATAACACGCCTTTATATATGTGTAGTCTAGATGCAAATAAAGCATTTGATACTTGCAACTGAGATTTGCAATTTGAGAAGCTCTATTTCCAAAAAAAACTTCCTTTATCTGTTGTACACGCAATCACATTGCTATATCGTTCTGGTACTGCAAATATATCCTACCAGGGAGTTACCTCAGATCAATTCAGTTTGTCACAAGGGGTGCGACAAGGGTCTATTTTATCGCCATATTTATATAGCATCTATACTGAAAATATCTTAAATGAAATAGTCTCAGAATGTAAAGTAGGGTCGACGATAAATGGCATCTATACTGGTGTCATTGCATATGCAGATGATGTTATTTTGCTGAGTCCAACAATCTCTGGTCTGCAAGAACTGATTGACAGATTTCAAATATGTGGAATATTAAACTTTATCAAGCTAAACACTGAGAAAACGGAATTTTTGATCTCTGGTAAAAGTTCAATTTCCAACAACATTATTCAAATTAACAGAACTTATATACATCTCCAAAATAAATTAAAACATCTGGGTTTCCAATGGGATAACGATACCAACAAAAACAAAATCGCAACACTTCAAAAAACAAATCAAAATGAACGTATAACGCAGTTTCAATCGGTTGCAATAGCTCTAATTGGAATTTGTTTTTGTCAGCCGTCAACAATAGTTCATTTATACAATACCTTGACAGTGCCAAAGCTTATATATGGCCTTGAGCTATGAAACTATGACATTAGTTTTCTAAGAAACATAGACGCTGTTGAAAGAGCAATTCTAAAATCATTTTTTTGTTTTTCAAAGTATAGCAAAAATCACCTACATTCTTTTTTTAAAATAGAAGATATTTCAACTACTCTTCTTCGAAATAAAGTAAACCTACTAATTAAGCTAATGAAAATTCATTTAAAACAATGATGGAGGAGAATATTCCTAAAATAGACTTAACCGTCTAGTCGGTCTAGTTATTGGCATTAAAGACAAATGTTTGAAGAGCCAAGACTGGCCTTAATTTAATTTGTAACTGTTTTAGTATAAATTAATTTACCTGTAATTTTACTGCTGGGTATTTAAGAGAAAATAATAATAATACTCATATTTTTTCAAACTTGCGTAATGTTTTTTTGAAACTTGCGTAAAGTTTTGGTATGATTTTTCATCTGAAAATCTTGTGAGATTTTCATTGATGAAAAGACCGAGGAAATTTATAACTTTTGATTGCTTTATTTGAATATTGTCAGTGTATATTTTAGACATAATATTTGGTAAAATGTTTTTTTGGATTTTGGATGAAATAGAGTCCATTTGGTTTTTTCTGTGTTTATTGATAGTTTATTTGATAAAAACCAGTTTGAAATTTTAATTATCACTATGTTCATGTCAAGCATTACTGTTATTAAATAAGGGGTATTATGAAGATTGTTAACAAAAATGAGAAAAAAAAAGGTGGTTCTAGTATAGACCCTTGGGTAACACCAAATGTTATATCTAGTAATTTTGTAGAGGAGGATACATCAATTTGAACAAACTGTTTACAATTGCTTAAATAGCTTTTAGTAATTTTATAAAATTTTCGCCGATTTCATAGTTTTTAAGTAAATAATACATGGTGTTTAATGAATAATTATATTATTCGATACTCCTTAGAAAGTATAGGAGTATTCAATAATACCAAAATCTTTTTTAACAACCCTAAGGATTATCATCAAGATCTACACTTTTTTTTTTGGTCTTATTGTAGGAAAAGAATAGCGAAGTTAATTAGGTAATACCTCAAGCTCATTCATTACGT